CGTGCTGAGGCTCCCCGCGCGTCCCCACTGCGCCGAGGCCCAGAGTCGCCCAGCCCATCTCGGCGTCAGGCCTGCGGAGAGCGGTGCCTGGGAAGCAGTCCCTAATGTTAGCGTGCCTGCCCGACGAAGGGTGCAGAGCTTGCAGCCGAGACGTAGCGAGCGACACCCTCGCGGCTGTCCTGTCAGCCTACGGGTCCAGTTCTCTTTCGTGGGGTCAAACTAGATCCCTCCCGCTTGCAACTCCAAAAATATCTTAAGTCAGTCTTTTTTTTTTTTTTTTTTAAGTCAGTCCTCTTGACATTCTACTTTCCCTTCTTTCCAGATTCAGCACTTCGTGTTTTCCCAGATCTTTGGTCATCTATCTCATGAAGCATTCTCTGAGCACTAGATGGAGACATTGCATTTGAGAATAAAGAATCAGTAAGATGTTTCCTGCCTGCTAGTCCCCAAGACAACTGAATACAGAGAACGATATTGTTTCAATTATGTGACCTTGAGCAACGTCACATCTCCAGACGTTTTTCAGTTTCTCAAACTGGGTAGATGACCTACATCACAGCTAGTAGTTACTGAATGTTATGATCTGGGCATCTAAGGTTTTCTACGCATTATTGCACCAGTCTTCACGTTACTATACTTCTTTCGTCTATTTTGTGGAAGCAGTGGTATAGACAGCCTGAGTAACTTGCTTGTTGTGACACAGCTAAGTTAAGAGCTGGGAAGTCACACCCAGCAGCCTGGTTTCAGAGCCACAAAGGCGCAGGATTTGGTGAAGATCATGTGGGAGGAGCCCAGAAGTCCTGTGAAGTGGAAGCACAAGTCACCATGTGGACAGGGTTTGATGCTTCATGTGGGCAACAGCAAGTTGGAAATGTTTAAGCAAAATGTGTGACTGGTGACTCTATGTCCTATTTTTATATGGAAGTCTCAGTTTATGCCTTCTTTCATATGTGTAATTACTAGAACCATCTTTTGCCCAAATGCCCACCTCAAAAATATGATCTCCTTAAAAAAGAAAAAAAACACATGGCCACTTAGATCAAATCACATTTTATAAAGAATCCTGATGACAAAGTGTACAACAAAGACAAGGGAGGTAGACCACTTATATTCCCAGGAGGAGGCAATTTCTATTCCCAGAAGAGGTGCTGAGGCAACCCTGAGACGGTACAGGTGACAAGGAGCTTCAGAGTTGAGAAGTCCATCCGTGACTAAGCGGGACATGCGGTACAGGGTAGATGCAGGACCTCAAGAAGCTCACTTCCAGGTTTTTAACTTAGAGCAAATAGTGGAGGCAGATAGAATTGGCAGAACAGGACAAGGGGTGTGATAGGAAGTTGGTCCAGCTTGGCTCAACTCACAGGAGAGTAACTGGACTTGTCTTCCTTTATCTGGATCCAGCATTTCTATTGATTCCAACAGTATAAGGACCTGCTCATACGGTAATTCACAGCGAAGGCCTGCTCCTACTGTGGTACTTAGCACATGAGTACCAACATGTGCCAGGTGCTGGGATTTGAAAGCACAAATATGGTTCTTACAAGTTGTGGACCTTACAGTAGACAACAGAGTCAACAGGCAATTATAGTTTCTATAAATGCTGAATTCTAGAAAGACATTTAGGAAGAGGATTTTTCCAAACCACACTTGCCAGACGAAGGCTTCCTACAAGATTCACTAGTTTAGGCCAGTGATGGCTGAACACCGTTGGGCAATCACTCCAGGTAGAGGCCATTCCTTCTACTAGATAAAAGGCACTTTGAGGGTAGATGAGCTCTTCTTATGCTGGACATACTCTAGAGTTTAGCTTGGCTTAAACAGAACAGGTGCTCAGTAGGTTTATTTTGGTTTGATTTTTAGTTGAAAAAGTGGTTATTTAAAACGTGTGAATTTATGCCAGGCATGGTGGTGTACACCTGTAAACCCACCACTTGGTAGGCTGAGGCAGAAGGATCATTGGGAACACAAGACCAGCCTGGGATACAAAGTGCATTCAAGGCCAGCCTGAACTGTGTACAAAGAGCATCTCAAAAAAAAAAAAAAAAAAAAAAAAAAGGGGGTTGGTGAGACGGCTCAGTGGTCTAAAGCACCTACTTAGAACAAGCTTAGCAAAGCACAGGGACCACAGTTCAATCCCCCAGCACCACATGCCAGCCAGCCCCGCCCCCCTGGTGGGCTGAGCTGGCCACACACACACACACACACACACACACACATGCACAAATAAAATTAAAAAAAAAAAAAGAAAAAGAAAGTGGACTTTAAAATTCTGAGAAGCGCAACAGGTTAGTTAAAGCTTTAATATTCATTTTCCCGGGGCCAGGGAGATGGCTCAGTAGAATAAGCGCTTCCCTGGCAAGTATAAGGGTCGGAGTTAAATCCTTGTATTCCGCCTCCCCCCCCCCAAAAAAAAATCATTTTCCCGGCACTTGTACAATGGGAAACTAGACAGGCTTTCTATAATTTGATTGGCCTGAAATTGTGTATTGTTCCAGCTAGTTTCAATGCTTAGATAGTATAAGCTTAACAGAAAAACATCCAGTTACCTGTACAGCTATATAGAGTAGGGTTCTAAATGCCAATCAAGTTCTTCATTGTATCAGAAATTACTAAAATTGATGATTTGACTTTGAATATTCCTTTTTTTTGTGGTACCAGGGATTGAACTCAGGACCTTGCACTTGCCAGGCAAGTGCTTATTCTACTGGGCTATCTCCCTGGCCCTCTTTGAATATTCGTAAGTCCAGGAATACTTTATATTTTAAAGTATTTTAAAGTACATTTAAAATACATTTGGCCAGGGGCCAGCCAGACAGCTCAATGGATTAAAATGTCTGTTTAGGCAGATGCAGGGGTCTGGCTTCGATCCCTGGCCTGCTGTGCTGGCCCCGGCCCTGAGGCATGCTGATACATGTCATATATACATATACATATATAATTTCTGGCCAGGTATGTTCATGCACACATGTAATCCCAGCATGCAGGAGGCTGGGACAGGACTGCTGCTGAGGCCAGCCTGGGATAGTGAGTTCAAGGTCAACCTAGAATACATAGTGAGATGCTGTCCCCCCACCCCCAAAAAACAAAATCAAAAACAAAACAAACCCTACACTATTTCCATGCCTTACTTTAACAAGTGAAGAGCAGGCTATATTGTACAAGTCTCCATTGTGAAGAGCAAACTATCAGGTTCCACTCTCAGTATCTGTTACAGCAGGCACTTACACTGTGGCTGCTCTGGATGAGGAAGTGCAGTAGGTGTAAAACGCACAGTGGATCATGTTATTACAATTTAAATTCACCTATTTCATTTTACCTTTTTACTATGGTCCTAGAAAATTTAAAATTATTACCATTGAGATTAACAATTCTTGGGCTGGGGAGATATCTGGCTCAGTGGAATAAGTGCTTCCCTGGCAAGCACAAGGGCCTGAGTTCAATTCCTGGTTCCGCAAAAAAAGAAAAACAACCAAAAACACTCCAAAACTTTACATATGGCCAGGATGAGAAATTAACAATTCTTGCTGAATCCATTCATTATTTATGGTGCCTAAAAATAAACATTAGTCTGAGGATAGTTCACTTGCCAATTATGCATGAGACTTTGGGTTCAGTCTCCAGCACTAGGGGGACAAAACTCAATGACAAGCATTTATTTTTTTCTGTATTTTAGGGAAGGGTCTACAGGGTGTTTAGGGTCTCACTACTAGATCGGACTCATAGTGATTCTGTTTACAGCCTCCCAAGAGCTGGGATTACAGGTGCGCGCCACCACGCCCAGTGTCAATCGCTGCGTAAGCGAGCCCTGTGGGGGGGCCAACACAGCAAGCCCCTGCCCCCCCCTTTTTTTTTTGCAGAGAGGCACCAGGTTTATTAGCATGGTGAAGCGGGACTTGTGCTGGCGACGCAGGACCCGGTGGGGCAGCGGGAACTTGATCTTGGAGTCGTGGAACTGCTTGACAGCGGCCGGTGGCACTTGCTGGCTGCGATCTCCTCCACTTTCGTGATCTGGATGGAGTGGGCACGGGCTCGGTGCCGGGTGTCTATGTCCCGGTAGCACTGGGTGACGGTGCCAGCTGTGGCCAGGTCCCCGTACTCCCTGGTATTAGTTGTGGGTGCCACCGCGGGAGTCAGCGCAGCCAGATGCCGAAGTTCTTCACCCGCAGTGGAGACTTCTCAAACACCTGCCCACAGTAGACGATCTTCCCTGAAGATTTCTTCATCTTGGACATGAAGTACCAGAAACGGGACTTGGCGACATGGTTGGGTGCGGAAACCCGCATGCGGTAGAGGCGCCATGCGGCACTTTGGGGTGGGCAGGCAGCGCCCCACCACCTTGTATTCCCAGAGTGTGCCCGAGGCTTTCTGGTGCTCCTTTCTCGCTTACCGCTTAATCCGCTATTTGGCCAGCCCTTTGGCAAGCATTTTTGATGTTAAAATCTAAACGTTAAGAAGCACTGGGGCTTTTTTTTTCCCATGCTCCCCGGCAGGGTCCATACGGAGTTGTTCCTGATTCCCATCGTAACTTAAAGGGAAACTTCACAATGTCCGGAGCCCTTGATGTCCTGCAAGTGAAGGAGGAGGACGTCCTCAGGTTCCTTGCTGCAGGAACCCACTTAGGTGGTACCAACCTGGATTTCCAGATGAAGCAGTATATCTATAAAAGGAAAAGTGATGGAATCTACATCATAAATCTGAAGCGGACTTGGGAGAAGCTTCTCCCGGCAGCTCGAGCCATAGTGGCCATTGAAAACCCTTCTGACGTCGGCGTCATATCCTCCAGGAGCACCGGCCAGCGGGCTGTGCTGAAGTTTGCTGCTGCCACTGGAGCTACTCCTATTGCTGGCCGCTTAACTCCTGGAACGTTCACTAACCAGATCCAGGCAGCCTTCCGAGAGCCACGTCTTCTGGTGGTTACTGACCCCAGGGCTGAACACCAGCCCCTAATGCAGGCATTTTACGTCAATCTGCCAACCACTGCTCTGTGCAACACAGATTCTCCTCTGCGCTATGTGGACATTGCCATCCCGTGCAACAGTAAGGGAGCTCACTCTGTGGGTCTGATGTGGTGGATGCTGGCCCGGGAAGTGCTGCGCATGCGTGGCACCATCTCCCGTGAACACCCATGGGAAGTCATGCCTGATCTCTACTTCTACCGGGATCCTGAAGAGATTGAAAAAGAAGAGCACGCTGCTGCAGAAAAGGCTGTGACCAAGGAGGAATTTCAGAGAGAATGGACTGCACCAGCGCCGGAGTTCACTGCTGCTCAGCCTGAGGTCGCAAACTGCTCCAAGGGCGTGCAGGTGCCCTCTGTGCCCATTCAGCAGTTTCCTACTGAAGACTGGAGTGCTCAGCCGGCCACAGAAGGTTGGTCTGCAGCCCCCACCGCGCAGGCCACTGAGTGGGTAGGAATCACCACCGAGTGAGTGGTCTTGAGCTGTTCTGCCGACGCTTCAGCAAAGTGGGAATGAGGCTGATAAAAAATAAAACAATTTCTAAGAGGAAAAAAAAAAAAAAAAAAAAAAAAACTGGGGCCAGCGAGATAGCTCAGTAGAATAAGAACCCTGGCAAGCACAGGGTTCTGAGTTCAATCCCCAGTACCACAAAAAACAACAACAAAACCACCGATAAACTGGACTCATCGTACACTATGGATTCACTAATACTTTGTCTTTTTTTTTTTTTTTTTGAGAATGGAAGAATAGGTAAGAGGCCAGTCAGTGAATGCTCAAAGCACTCTTCATACTATCTTGGAAAAAAGCTTTGTGAAAAATGTTAAGCTATTAAGTGAAAAGGAGAAAACTGCCTTTACTTCCTGGTTAGGGTTTGCATAAATGTGCTGGGTAAGCTCAAAGCGATTCTAAATTGGGAAGGATATTTTAGGCAGAAGTCTCTCTGGAAGAATAATTCCAATAGCAGTTGCCAAAAAATTACAGAGAATGCTTGTCATACAGAACACTATTTAGTCTGAGGACATATCATTATGGACATATCATAAGGAATATACACATATATGTGTATATAATATACATATACATTTATACTAAAAATACAACCTTTTACTAGCTCAAAAAATCTCATCTGGAGTAGATGAAAGACAGTATATCCTCTCTCCTCATCCAGTGTCACTTGCTGTACTGTAAAATTGAGGAACATGAAGGAATTATTCCTAATCCAAAGAGTCACTCAAGAATAACAAAAAATACAACTAAAATGGTCTCTGCTAGCCTTTATTTGAGAAAATTTACACAAAAATCCCCAATCCAACACTTAGAAGTGCATCTCTATAAACCTGCATGCCTCTTTCCGTTATACAAAGAAAAATGGCTTTGATAGGGGTTCCTGACTGTGGTACGACAAAGCGTACCTAAACTGTACTATCCTCATTTACGTCATACAGATCAATTTAAGTATACTAACAATGGAAGAAGGTACATAATACCCCTAAAAGCTGATTTGTTCTGGTATTAACCTGATATCAAAAGCAAATACTTTCTATCAATTAATGTACACATAAAAAGCACAAATGTCTGAGTTGCTATTTTTGGCGTAAGAAAAAGGGAGGGATAAAAAAAGAGGGACAGAGAAGCATTTAAGTTTCTTCAATTTAGAGTCAGAAAACATCAGCAAAGTATTATCTTCTATCTTCTTGACATTTTTCACAGAACACCATAACAGAGTAACTTTTGCTGCTTCTAAAAGTGGGAAGGCACCAATCAGAAATACAAGAGCCTCGGGGCTGGGGAGATAGCTCAGTAGAGTAAGAGCCTGCCTGGCAAGCACAAGGTCCTGAGTTCAATCCCCAGTACCGCAAAAATAAACAAACAAAACACCAAGACTCTCATGTTAGGATAAATGGCACAGACCAGTATTTCACATTGAAGTGTCCCAGCCTGTACCTTAAGACACAAGCTCGTTCATTCTTTTCCCTACGCGGAGGTATCCTGTTGTCTAGCATAGGTTAAGGTGACAGACCTTCACCACATGGGCTACGCCTGCAGCAAGGAACCTAGTGCCAAGTTCCCAGAAGCAGTACCTACCACTCCTCAACAGCAGATGGCAGTGCTGCACAAGTAAGGAGAAAACCACCTTTACTCCACAAGAGCGATTTACAAGAGTCAAAGGATGGGAAAAAGGCGTTTGGATTTACAGTAACCGGAACATTAACAGAATAGCCTGAAATTTTAATAGCATAAACTACTCCTCTTTCAAAACCCTTTGTTTTTTTTATCTAGGTCAACACAATAGTGTTCTTGGATGTTTCCAATACTCTGTGTCATCAATGCAAGTGACATGGGCCTAAGTCCTGTAATGCTTGTTACTGCAATTATTACAAATCCTGTAACAGTCAGTAGAGTTAAAAAGGTTACAGAAAAAGTAAACTCACACCTACTTTCCTGGGGGAAGTGGAGAAGATTTCAAAGGATACTATTTTCCCAATTGTTTAGAATACAGTCATTTTATCCCTTTTTTTTTTTTAGCAGTACTAGAGATCAACCCTAAGGCGTGGCGCATGTTATACCACAGGGCCCTACCACGGAGGGCCAGCGCGGCCTGGCCTAGCCCCAGGTTTCTTTTTGGGTTGGTACTAGCCTGCAGGCACCTTCCACTCCCCACAGTGCTTCTTGGCTTTGCTTTCACATGTATTCTCAAGTATTTGCTCTCTCCACGGCCTTCTAAGATGTGTATTTTATACCTCACATGTCTTCTCTAGATAAAACACATGAGGACAGGACTACACAAGTGACTGGTCCTGCAAAAAGAGGTGGCTACGTTACAAATCCATACAACTGTATCTGATAAAAGACTTCTATCTAGGATATATAAGGAACTCTCAGAACTCAATAGTAAAAGGAACAAATGATCAATTAGAAAATAGAAAAAAAGACATTTCATGAAGAGGACAGATGAAAAACAAATGAAAAGATGTTCAACATCATTAAATCAGGAAAATGCAAACTAAAATGGTGACATTCCATACACTATTCAAGTGGCTAAAATTTTAAGAACAGTATCAACTGCTGATAAGAATAAGGAGCAACTGGATCAGTGACACACTGCTAGTAGAAATGTAAAATGGTACAATTTTAGAAAAAGAATAGGGAAGTTTTGAACAAAAATAAACATGCTTACCATGAAACCTAGCAACTGCCCCTTTGGGTCTTTATCCCAGAGAAATGAAAATGTTTATATAGAACCTATACACACATGTTCACAAAACTTTATCAGGAAGGGCCCCAGACTGAAAACAAATCACATGTCCTTTAGCAGGTGAATGGTGAAACTGCAGTACACCTGCAAGGATGGAAATTACTCAGCAATAAAAGGAACAAAGTATCAATATGTGCCACAACTTGGGTGAATTTCATGAAAATTATATTGAATGAAAAATGTCAATCTCAAAAGGTCAAATTCTGTATGATTCTATTTATGTAACATTTTTAAAATGACAAAATTATAAAGCCAGTAAACAGTCATAGTTGCCAGAGGGTTGGGAAAGGGGGACGATGGCTGTGGCATAAGGAGGCAGCAGGAGAGATGGATGTGACAGAACAGTAACTGTACGTCTCTTGTGATGGTCACATGAATCTACACAGGATGAAACTGTGTAGAACTAGACAGAGGAACGTGGAAAAAGCTCGAGCAGTTCAGCACAAATATCTGAAATCTAAAATGAGATCTTCTTGAACAATTTATCTGTAGTTCAAGCCTGTCTTTTACATCCACGACCCTTTTAAGAGACATAAAGTTATGATAAATATCACCACAAGCTATGTAAACATTTCAGCTAAAGGTAAAGACAAGTTCAGGATGTTTTCATAAGAAAACCCAAAGATGACAATTGGTAAGAAACAAGTTCCATGCCATACAAATCTTGGTAAAAGAGCTAGGATGAAAGCCCCAACCGTGAGCAAGTGGGAGGAGGAAAGCAAACAGTTCAAACTGATCACAGGAGGAGACCCAGGACGAGTGCTGGCTGTGGCATTACCTAGGGAACTTCTCTTTTTTGTCACAGGTGACTCTATTAATAGTCCTATTGTTACAAAACCAATTCAAACCCCACCAAGTTAAAGGAAGCCTCTTATCGACTTCTGGGCGCAGGTGGTGCCCCCGGCTTTCCACACCAGGTCAGTTCTGGCAAGAAGTGCCAATGTGCATCGATAGAGCTGCAGGCAGGAGACCAGGGCCAGGCACGACCCAGCGGCTGTTCTGCTGAGGGACTCGTTACTCAATCAACTTCTTGGCCTTGAAGAAGCGCCGCAGGTAGAAGACCTGCCATGTGGCCAGTCCAACGAGACAGAGCATGGAGAAGATGCTGAAGTACAGAACCCGGGTATTGGTCGACTCTAGAAACAAAGTGTCATAAAGGTGGTGAGTGACAGACTAGGAACAGGTGACTAACTCTAGGTCTGAAAAGAGGGTTTCACACTAACAACAAAACAGAGGGGTTTTTTGGCAGAACCGGAGATTGAACTCAGACCTTTGTGTTTGCCAGGGAAGTGCTTATTCCACTGAGCCATCTCCCTGGGCTCTTAGAAACATTTTTTTTTTTTTTTTTGCGGGCTCAGGATGCCTTCAGGGCAAGTCTGGTTTGGCTTGAGGATCTGGGGACTGAACCATAGCATCCTGAGTCTGACTGCTCTGTTTAGGCAGGCACTTAAACAACTTAGCTAAGGGGCAGGCCCCCAACAAAGCTATTGATAAATGTTAAAAATGACAAAGATTAATGCTATTGATTTGATATACCATAAGCTAAACGTTAATCCACCAATTGTGTATCACAGAACAAAATTCCATTCTCCTGAGAGTTTAACAGGCCTGCTTTATCTTCTAGGAGCAAGAGCACTGAAGCACATGATTGTCCTTCTACACACCCTACATTTGCAAAACTGAGAAGAAAGTACCCCAAATTGCATGTTACAGGGCTCTCTCCCCTTTCCAGGCCACTTATTTAGAAGGAAGAGCTGCTTTCCTCTCACCATTGGTGTCCCGCATCTCTTCCTCTCGCTTCTTCATGTAAGCAAAATCATTGACAATGGATTCGGAAAGGTCTTCTAGGCGTCGCAGCTCTACCTCTAGTGGTTTGAGCTTCTCCACTTTTGCAATCTGGAAAAGAATGAAGAACTAACTCTCAGGGGCCGGGGAGATGGCTCAGCAGAATAAGCGCATGCCTGGCAAGCACAAGGGCCTGAGTTCAATCCCCGGTTCCGCAAAACAAACAAACAAACAAACAAACAAACAAACAAACAAAAACCTGTTCTGGTTATGAACATAAAGCAGAGCTGGGCATGATGCTGCGCACCTGTAATCCCAGCACTTGAGAGGCTGACGTAGGAGGACCACCATGAGTTTAAGCTACACACTGAGTTCAAGGGTAGCCTGATTTACATATTGAGACTGTTCACAAAACCCAAAACAAAATACGTAAGGCAACAGAGTACTCTTTTTAGAAGTTTACTAGATTTAAATTCTATTAATCATCCTAATGTATTTCAAAAGATGGAATCTACTTTTCCCTACAAACTATTTGTATCTTTCCATTTCAGATATTTATAATACTTTAATTTTTATTTAAATATCTTTAGGAATATCATAATATGTCTGGCTATAAAGTAAGACTATTGTTTCCCCTACACTTCTGGCCTAACCTTTTTTTTTTTTTTTTTTTTAGATGAGACAAGGTCTTGCTATGTAGTTCAGGATGGCCTTGAACTCATAGCGATCCTCTTGCCTCAGCTACCTAAGCACTGGGATTATAAGTGTGTGTTACTTTAATAAAGCATTTGCTCTGCTCTTCTACTCATGTCATATGCAAATTTATTAATATAGTAACTGCAAAGCCAGGTGTAGTGGTGCATGCCTGTAATTCCAGTACTCAGAAGGCTGAGGCAAAAGGACTTCTATAAGAAGACCAACCATGGGCTACACAGTGAAATTCAAGGCTAGTTTTAAGTACACGGACACTGTCCAAAAAAAAGACAACCAGTTGTCAAAAGAAATCTCCCACCTTCCCTCTTGGGTAAGGAATGAAAGATGGGAGAAAGCCTAACTACAGGAATGTCACACGGGCAAGGATTTCATTAGTCTGTTTTTTTCTAATAACATTGGCTTATGATTTGCTTTATTTTTAATATTTATTTTGGGCTTTTGAGACAGGGTCTTACAGCACAGCCTAGGTTAGCCTGGAACCTGTCAATCCTCTTGCCTTAACCTCCCAGCACCACGGCTGGCTCTGATCCCTTTTCCACTAACACAGGATCTTGCTAAGATGTCCAGCCTAGCCCGAAGCCCTGGGCTCCAACAATCCCCCCAAACAGCTGGGACTATAGATGTGTGCCATGCTCCACTCAGGATCCACTTTCAAATGGGATAAACTAAGTAAGTTTTGTAATCTGAAAACTTTTGTATGCCTATAAACTTTTTTCCACACAGGGAACTCCTCAATATTCTGTCTCTAATTTATTCCCTATTTACTATATTTTCACCACAGAATTTTTTTCATCTCCTTTGTCCAGTTCACAGTCCTTGTTCTTTTTACTAAATGTTAATAGTAATTCAAGTGGGATAAATGGGGAGGTTTCAGGGCAACTTTCTATTCTCTTTGCTTATCTATTTTCTGCAATGGATGTGAAGAACAAGATAAATAAAACAAAACTAGAAACATCTACCAAGCTAGGAATAGAAAAATTTAGTACATGCGATACATAAGAATGTGATGGGCTGGAGGTGTAGCTCAGTGGTAGAACGTGCCTGCCACCTACAAGGCCCAGGATTCACTCTCCGGCACCACAAAACAGCAAACAAAGCAGTGATGACGGATCTGTACGACACACACCTAGCTTTTCCCCCACCGCACACACATCTGCTACATCTGTGCGATGCTGGCCAGGTCAACGGGCAGGCAGCTGCAGCGCAGCTTTGTGGATGAACAATTCCCCGAGTGGCAAGTGCATTAAAGCTGATTCTCCTGGCTCAATGCTTAAACGCCAGCTTTGCCATTAGCCTAGAGTCTGTCTCAGTTCTTTAATTTCACACAGAGCTGAAGAGAAAAAAAGTTCCTCAAGGAAAAGACAGCAACATAAGAGGTACGTGGTAAGCTGAACCTTGTCCATTTAACTTCTTCCCTCTTGCTCTTACTTCCTTCTCCAAAACTTCCTGAATGAGACAGAGTAATATTAATGGCACGAAACTTCTTAGACATAATAAGTCACTGAAGGTTCCCTAAATTAGAAACAGAAACTTGCAAAAGGAACGGGAAGTGAAACTATGTCTGCCAGCTGTGGGAGGGGGACATATACCTTATAGACATTTACATAATGAATATGTACATTTTTTATGCCAGATTGCAGCCCCAAATACCCATTTGCAATACCCATACAGTATTTACCTTTTGGTTGTTTAAATGTATATTCTTCTGCTAAAGAAATCTAAGCATTCAGAAAGAGAATAAAAACCAAACATCTGCCTTCGTAGTTTCTCAGTTCCCAAATCCCCTCATTCCTTTTCAGAGGTCACTATGTTTATGAACTTGGAGTATATATTTCCAGACCTTGTTACAATATCCTCTATTCATGTTTTTGTATGGAAGTATACACTAAAAATATAATTTAAAATATATTGGGCTGAGGAGATGGCTCAGTAGAATAAGTGCTTCCCTGGCAAGCACAAGGGCCTGAGTTCAATCCC